GTAGCTTTGTAGTCCTTAACCCTAAACCCTAAACCCTAAACTCCTTGGGGTTACAAGTGTAAATCCGAAACCCGGGCGCCTTCGCCGCCGGCCACGGCGAAGTCGCCCGAGGCGAGGCCGGCGATGTGTGGCCTAAAAGTCGGATTCCATGCACGCACTGAGTGGCTGTTTAGGGCTTAGGGTTTAGGGTTTAGGGCTTGGGGTTTAGGGTTTAGTGTTTAGAGTTTAGAGTTTAGAGTTTAGGGTTTAGGGTTTAGGGTTTAGGGTTTAGGGTTTAGGGTTTAGGGTTAGGTATAACAGTACTGCTTAGGGATGTCGAGCTGCCTGGGAGCATTTCAAACGTGCGGGGAGCCTGGAAAGCTCGGGCCCCCGGCACATAGTCGTCCTGCGGCCGCTCCTACCCTAGAAGCCCTACAGCTCAAAAGGCCCCTAAACGAAGTCCCCAAACCTACAAAGCACCAACACCCTTTGAACCATCACACTACCAAACTGACATGTGTTCTAGAAGCTCCAAAACCTACAAACCGCCGGGTTAGGGTCTAGGGTTTAGGATTCAGGGTTTAAAGTTTAGGGTTTAGGGTTAAGGGTTTAGGGTTTAGGACGACACTATGGAAAAGGGGTTCTGAGGCTGGGGGGGCTGTCTAGGCTGGCCCTTGAAACCTGCTGAGAAAGACTCTGAAACAAGGGCCTCTTCAACCCGATATGGCGAGAACATTCCAAGCGCCTAGTTTGAAGGGTAGAGGCCTCGGTAAGCTTAGATCTTTGAGCCCGAAGCCTAACCCCTAAACCCTAAGCCCTAAAGAGCCCTGAAACCATGACCCTACACCCTCTCAGGGCAGTGTGGCATTTGATTGAGGCCCGGGGTCTGGCGGCAGGCAGGGGGCTTTGCCTTATGGCTAGGCTGACCATTACAGAGCAAACCTTAGCCCTAAATCGTCAAGCTATACCCTAAGCCCTCAATCTGAACCTGAAGGGCCTCAACCCTGAAACCTTTTAAACCTCTACGTCTCGGAGTCCCTAACCTAAAGCCCCCCGATTCCCCAGCACAAGAAAGAAATCGCACGCGCGGCCTCCGGAAGCTCGGGAGAAGCCTGGGGAGGCGGAGAACCCCAAGTGGTCTTTGGGTTCTTTGGGTTCTTTGGGTTCTTTGGGCTCTTTGGGTTCTTTGGGTTCTTTGGGTGCTTTTTTGGGTGTAGGTGCTTGGGGGTTTAAGGGATTGCTGCTTGTAGGGTTTTAGTGTTTGGGGCACCCGGATTGGGCCGCTTCTCTGCAATTAGGCGAAACTGTGTGAACCAAAGTCTCACTACTTGGAGGTTCATGGGTACTTCTAACCCCAATCATAAGTCTACTTATAACCTACTTAGAGGACTCAGGGGGCTTATAAGTATAATCGGGGTTTTAAGTACCCTGAACCTCCAAGTACAGCGCATGCCCATGACCGCTACGCTTGGGCCAGTGATCAAGAAAGCACAGATCGCATCCAAGCAAGGGGCGGTCGCGCTGTCGCCGCCGCCGCCGGCAGCATAAGTGTCTGATGCAGCGCCTCATCAGCAACCCGATCGCGTCTGTGCAATCTTGAATCATGCAGCCTTGCAAGAGCATCGCAGTTGCCTCCCTTCAGCAGGGCTGTGGCTTCTGCACTTCCCAAGGGCCCGGCCCCTCTCCGAGCGGCTCGGCTTGCAGCCCATGGGGCACGCAGGGCAGGCGAAAAAGATCAGGTAGTGGGGGGGGGGGGAGGGCGGGGGAGCTGGAAGCGAAGTTATGGATCGGAAGGCTTTGGGAATGAGGTTCGTCTCTAGACGAAGGGGATTTGGTAGTGTGGCTTGGTTGTCCTCGCTTTCTGGGCTCAGGGTTAGGGCGCAACCATTCTACGGATCCTGTTTGAACTTGTCCGTGCTTGAGCTCACAAGGTGTGGAGTTTTGGGCTGCTTTGCGGTCGAGTTTAGCAAGACTTTGCATCGAGATCCTACGTTTTTGTGGGGTGGCCACCACGTGCTCGGGGCACTTGCCCAAACTCAAACAACTGGAAGCCGAAAACCCTTGAACCAGCCCCTGAAGCCCCCAATCAACCTTATGATCGCCAAATACTAATCTCCCCAAAACCTAAACCCTAAACCCCAAGACCCACAAAACCCTCCAGTGGGGCGCTCTGGCACCAGCGTAAACTCGTGGAAGGTCACAGCGGCCTTGAAGTCCTCCGCAAAGGAAGGCGAATAACGAGATACGTCCTAATTAGGGCCAAGGGGGTTTAGGGTTTAAGGGTTAAGGTTTAGGGCTTCAGGTTCATGGCGGGGGGGGGGGAGAGGGGGGTTGTAAGGGTTCATCCGGGCTTGTAGGGGCTGATAGGGGCTGCGCGGCTTGCAACGCTTAAACTGCAAGGGGCATGTCTGGGATGCTACTGGCTCGTAAGGCCAAAGGGTGGTCATAAGGGAGCGAATTTCTCAGAGCAGGAGCTCTGATGAGGTTTATCAAGCTGCTAAAGGGCTTATTTATCGGGCTTTGGTCTTTCATGTTGCGCTCACTCTTGGAGCACACCCCGGAGTGGTACGAAGCTCGTCGAATGATCCAGCGCCCCGGACTCTTTGGCAGGGTGGGCGGTTCGGAATAAGCGACTTCCGCCTTTGAAGGACAAAGTGGTGACAGGAAAGAAGCCACCGATACCAAAGTTGAGCGAGAGCCAGGAATTAACTATCAACCCACGAGGTTCCTGAACAAGCTCGAAAAAGTTCGCCGTACTGCACCCCCCAAAGCCCCCGAAACCGCGCAAAATCACAGAAACCCCCTCATCCCCCCGCGACCTCCCAAACCCCCCCAATTGCCCAAACCCCCCTCAACCCTGAATCCGAAAATCCGACAGACCCCCTGGGTGGAGAGGGCTTCGGCCAGCCTGGTGTTTGAAGTGGTCACTCGTAGACGACCTTGCAAAGGGGCACTGGAAAGGTCTAAGAGGCTGAAGGATTTGGTGGGGGATGAGGGTCTAGGAGTTAAAAGAAAAACTCCCCCTGATAGGACCGATGAGCTGCAAGCCTCAAAGCGCCAAAGTCCAACGTAGCTAAATGCCCTAGTTCAGGACTTGACCCCCCAGACACAAATCTGGAAAGGGAGCGTAAGTTCAAGGAATTCAGCACATAGAACCTCCAGACTCCAAACGGAGACCAGCGTTTGGGGCTCATGTCAATGAAGCCTCGCTTGAAATGCCAATCCCACACAGCTGGACGCCGCGAATAGCGACTGGCTGAAGCCCTTCAACAGCCCAAAAAACCACATGAACCCTCGGACTCCAGACCCCAAACCCCGGAACCCCACCAACAAAAATAACAAAATCTTACACGAAGCCTGCTAAATCTTAACCAGCCAAAGGGCCAATCCGCATCCAGCTCCTGCTTCTCAGCGTCGGTCACGTCCGAGACGGTATCGGCCTGGCAGGGGGCAGGGTCAGGGTTGCGGGTTTGTGAAGGGCTGTTACTGGCCTGCAGGTGGGTTTACATGGTCTTCCGGATGGATTTACATGGCTTTGACTGGCTCAAACATGACCAGAATCAAGTTTTAAGAGCTTGGGGTGAGCAGTTTGGGGGACTTTTGGGGCTTCGGGGGCCTGCGGTCTTAGGCTCACGGGCTTCACCTCTCGAACTGCGAAATCCTAAACCCCAACAAGGCATCAAAACTCAGAGCCCCGAAAACCCTGATTCCCCAAACCCTGAAGCACGAAAACACGCCTTGAAGCCGAAAAGCTGAAACCCCAAAACCATGCAGGAACCCGATGCTTTGAATCCCTGAAACTTTGCGATCCCGAAAACCCGAATGTAAGAGCCCTAAACCCTCAGGCTTCTGGGGCTCGGCTTGTTGATTCCAGGGATCGCGCAAAGCTTACGCTGGGCTTCGGGCTCAGGACAGCTTAGGGCCAACACCCTCAAACCATCAAGCCCTGTTTAGGGTTTAGGGTTTAGGGTTTAGGGTTTAGGGTTTAGGGTTTCCAAAACCCCTTCGTGTCTAGGCCTGCGGGAGCCCCCAAGCCCGCGCGGCCTGTTCCAAGAGGGCAATCTCCTCCTTGGTGTAGGCCTGGATGCTGACTGCAAAGCTTTCGTTCACTGTGGCCTTTTCCTAACTAGGGGTTATGGAGTTTCTAGGTTTTAGGGTTACCATAACACCCCTCAAACCCTAAACCCTAAACCCTAAACCCTAAACCCTAAACCCTAAACCCTAAACCCAACTTCAGGTTTATAGGGCTTGGGGCTTAGGGTGTTCAACGTGCAGGGCGCTCGAAAGGCCCCCCAAGAACTCCTCAAGTCCTGCGCTTGCCTAGGCAGGCTGAGCACCTGGCCATGCCTTTGTACTGGCCTTTGTGATCCACAGGGATGTAATGGAACCTGGGTTTAGGGTTTAGGGTTTAAGGTTTAGGGTTTAGGGTCTGCTGTGATAGAGCGTAGGTGCTGTGAAGGTTTGGTTTCGGAACAGGCTCGAAAGCTTCGTGAGGTGCGAAGAGCAGCTTTGGCCCGATTGTGGAGGGCCATCTGACACTTTTCTCCCACCCCACGCCGTCCGAGGCGGCAAAGCCACCCAAACCTATTCCTTTTAGGGTTTAGGCCTAAACCTAAACAAAAACTTCTTCAGTTTCATGACGTTCGGGGTTGGGCGGGCCAGAGAGACCAGAGCAAAGCCAGGATGGCTGAAGGTTTAGGGCTTGGGGTTGAGGGCTTGGTACTACAGGGGGGTTCGAAGGGCTTTCGAGGTTGAGCCTCAAGATAATCTAAGCTGCTGGGATGTCCTTTAGGCAAGGTCTGCAAGGGGCGTGGTGTGAATGGTGGCCCCTTCGTGCCCCCCAATTTGACCGACCAGGTCGATCGGAGGTACCTTGTATCCTCCTGCCCTATAGGGGACCTAGTTCTTTCCCTTCTCAGAAAGGGGAATGTTACAGGGGTTGGGGTGGCGGGTCACCGAGAAGCACTCGAGATCAAGCTGTTGGTTGGTCTGAATCCGTGCATTGCCCTGTACGGCGACCCTCATCCAAAAACCCTCAGACTAACCCAAAAAAACTTCGACAGCGTGGGAACCAATTCCAGAGGACACGGCTGATCCGTACTGTTGATTTTCTCCTCGCCGAACTTGTCCCACACACCAATCTTCAGATACCTGCACCTGCGTGCTGAGACATGGCGGCTGACCTAAAATATGGCTCTGATTGGGCACCCTAGACTCTAGCTTAACTCCACCCACATCAGGGGGAGGAGTACGCAGGTGAACAGCAAACTTGCAACACGAGGGCCAGCTTTCAAAAGTATGGTACGTCCCGCAAGCTTTTGGGCACCCCAAATACCTAGATACAAGGTCCCGCACTTCAACAGATACCTCCAAGGAAGGTCCCACGGGTTATGACACATGGTTCGATACGAGGACAATCGGGGCTGCGGAGCTCATTGGGGCGTACGGCTTGGTGGCTATGGGCACCCCGAGCTAAGGGCATTTTGCATTGAAGGGCCCTGGCCATCTTCCCTATGTCCCGAAACGCGCCGGTGTGACGGCAAGTCGTACATCAAAATGTCAAAATTGATCTGAATCAATTCATCCTGGGCGGCGGGGAGTGGTGGCAGTGGTGCTGCCAATGCTCGACGGCTTTACCCGTGGGATTGGGTTTCTCAAGGCCTTGGGGTTTCGGTCCAAGCCCTCAGCCCTAAGCCCTAAACCCTAAACCCTAAACTCTAGAACCGACCCTAGAGACCAGACCCCAAACCCTAAACCCCTGCAGTAAGCTTTCCGGGAGGGCCAGCATCGCAGGCGCCGGAGACCAGAGATGCAGGCAAGGCTCATTGTTTTGGTCCATGACGATATTCGTCTGGTAGTTTTTCCTCAAGGGAACCATCAGGGGCCAGATTTGTTTCTAGTCTTGAACGGGGGGGACCCTTTTTAAGGGACCTTAGGGGTAATGTAGGGGCTACTGTAGGAATTTAGGGACTATATACAGCATATATAGGGGTTATGTAGGGTCCCTTCTAGGGGTCCCTCCTTGTATGTCCCTGAGCGTTTGTTAGGACTTCAGCACCTGAGCAGAAACTAGGCGCTTGGGTTGGGGAGGCTGGCTGTGTGCCCTTGCTTGTAGAAGCTCGCTCGTGCGTCATTGTGCCACATCAAAACTGCAAATCACCAGGGACGCAACATACATCGTAATCCACTTCTAGCCCTAAACCCTAAACCCGAAACCCTAGAGGTCTGAGAAGACCCTGGAGCGGTGCTCCGCGATCCCCCGAAACGTCTGGGCGCGCCTAATGAACGCACCGAGCTCGGCGATGAGCAGAAGGAGCAGCACGGCATAAGCTACCTCAAGAGCCCTCTACGACCCGAAGCCCTGAAGCCTGAACCCTGCTCTCCTCACTTAGGGCCCTTGCGACGCGCAACGGGCAAGGGGGATTGAGATCAGGGGGGGGCGCCGAGTTTTTGGGGTTAAAAGCGGTGTAGGGCTTAAGGCTTCAGGTCACTTATACAGTGACTCAGGCGTGTTTTGTGGTTCGGCTGCGCCACCTTGCAGGGCCAGACCTCTCCTGCAAATCTTAGAACCACGAGATGGCAGCCTACACGAACAAGCAGCTCCTTGCAAACCTTACACCTCAGATCCGGGCCGCAGTAAAGATGCCCCCAGTGAAGGTTCCCTTTGTCAGGTCCTTCTCAAGTGTTCGTGCAGTTTTCGGCTGGGCGGGGAGGTGGTTTCATGGACAACTCGCCCTTTGAGGTTTCAAGGTCCGAGTTTCTGGGTTCCAATTCTGGAGACGACTGTGGGCCTGAGACTCATGTCCAGGGACGGGTTGGGCCCCAAACTCTGAACCGAGTGTCGCGCGCATCAGCGTAGGGTGTATGGGGCGTGCGGCCACACTCCAGTCACAGAAGCTTTGGGGATGTGGGATTGATGGAGTTTAGGTCAGGGACAGGCATGGGGCAATCTCAGTGCGTCCAGACACTGCTGCCTGGCGCCACAACAGGATGGTCCAGGGTCCGCCAGCCCCTGACTCCGTGAAGCCACCACCCTCATCCAAGAAGCCCCTTAGTTAAACTGACCCGAACCAGACGCAAGTCAAGAACGGAGCCTCATTAAACTGCGCGTGCGGCTGGTAACTCGTTCTGTCCATCTGACAGCAAAGCCACCATCTCGATGTGTCCTGCTTCAATGGCGCTCATGAGCGCGGTTCTGTCAAACCTGCCCTTCAACTCCTTCTTGGCTCCAGCTTCCAGCAGCACGCGCGCGACCTCGATGTGGCCTTGGTCACATGCCCGAATCAGTGCGGTGTCGCCCCTTCCGGCCTCGAAGTCCTTCTCAGCACCAGATTCCAGCAGCAAACGCACAACCTCGACGTGGCCCCTGTAAGCTGCACGACCCAGAGCGGAGTCACGGCTAGAGTACCTGCCAACCTTATCCTTCTCCGCACCGGCTGCCAACAGCTGACGAACAATCTCAGTGTGGCCCCGCTCAGATGCGGACATTAGGGGTGTGTCGCCGTCACTGTCCAACACGTCCGTCCGAACGCTCAATTCCAAAAGCAAGCGCACGATCTCGACGTGGCCGTTGGCGGACGCAGCACCCACAGCCACATTGAACCTTCCTTGCATCTCTTTGTTGGCCCCAGCTTCCAGCAGCACGCGCGCGACCTCGATGTGGCCTTGATCACATGCCCGAATCAGTGCGGTGTCGCCACCCCTGGCCTCGAAGTCCTTCTCAGCACCAGATTCCAGCAGCAAACGCACCACCTCGACGTGGCCTCTGTATGCGGCACGCATGAGGGCGGTGTCGCAGACCGGATATCTCGCAATTGCGTCCTTGTCTGCTCTTGACTCCAGGAGGAGGCGCGCCACCTCAAGGTGGCCTTTGTCGGCTGCCAGAATCAGCGGCTTGTCATGTCTGTCATGTCTCCCGTAGGCGCATTCCATGTCGGCACGAGCTACCAGCAGCAGGCGCACTATCTCAACATGACCAGCTCTAGACGCGCAGACAAGGGCTGTATCACCGAAGCTTGACAACTCCGTATCAGCACGAGCCTGCAACAGGAAGTGGGCAGCGCTCAAATGGCCCTCCTTTGCAGCATAGCTTACCAACTCCTTTGCGATGTACATGTCTTTCCTCCCCTCGATGCTGCCGAGCATCAGTTGCAGGTCGATATCACCTTGCATATCCAGCTTGGCAGCATCCTCCAACACACATCCCTGATGCAGGAGCTGCTGGAGGCAGAGCGGGAAGCCATGTCGGGTGCGTAGGTGGCGCTTCAACGTCAGAACGTCATCCACCTCCTCCCTGCTCACTGACGCCATCTCTTCCCCAGACAAGCTCCAGATGCGCAGCGTCATGGACACAAAATCTTGAAGTGCTTCACAGAATGCAAACCTAAACCCGAAAGGCAAACGATGCTGCCAGCCACTGGTGTCTTGTTTGATTTCATGTCATCATGTGATTTGCGGTTTACGACAGTTCACGTTACTTCATGTTGTTGAGTAGTCAAACTGTTGAACTGTTCATCTGTGGAAGGAATCTAGTGTAGATTGCCATTATATTTCTGACCCAATTGCTTGTTGTTGACTCCGCATCAGCTACAAGATTTGCAAGATGTGTGTTGCTCTACGCCGGTAGAAAAGACAAACCAGCGCCTCGCTTGAACATCTCCCCGGAGAGTCAGTTGATATGGCTCCAACGGAAAAGCCCTCCGTGAATTCTGAGTCTACGACCCCTAGCTGTTTAAATCCTCGAACTCAGACGGCATAAGAAAACAGAACAAACCAGCGAATTTTCTCCTACCCGCCACCCCCCAAACACATCATGGACCATTGCGGACCATGATTATTGCATATCCCTCAGCCGCGAATTCGGAAGAAAACGGATGATGAAAAGGAACATGTAAGGGTATGTGAACGGTGCTGATAGAAGCCTGGGCGTTGACAGGAACGAAGAAAGGCAAGAGGCCAGGGCCTTCAAATCCTGGAGCCTGTCCCGAAATTGGAGCCGGGAAACTGTGGGTTTTTGGGGGTTTTTTTGGGGCTTACTGGGTTTTTAGGGTTTAGGGTTCTTTGGGGTTTAGGGTTTAGGGAAGAAGACTCTGCGAACCATCGGGCTGAGGGGGGGTCCGGTATTTACTGCAAAAGGGCCCCTTCACCCCAAATATGTCGCTGAAGCCCGGAATCAGGTCGTTCTGGACGCGGCCCGGCGGCCCACTAGAGTGTCCAACAGTATTCAGAGGGCAAAACCCTAAACCCTAAACCCTAAACCCTAAACCCTAAACCCTAAACCTAAACCCTAAAGGGTTTGGAACCTTACCACATCGGCGGTCCCGCGACACCACTCGAAACTGGTCCAAATTCACCAGCGCGCCTGCCAGGTTGCAATGTAAGGCAAGGGTTTAGGGTTTAGGGTTTAGGGTTTAGAGTTTAAGGTTTAGGGTTTAGGGTTAGGGTTTAGGGTTTAGGGTTTCGGGTTTAGGGTTTAGGGTTTAGGGTTTAGGGTTTAGGGCTAAGGGTTTAGGGTTTAGGGTTTAGGGTTTAGGGTTTAGGGTTTAGGGTTTAGGGTTTAGGGTTTAGGGTTTAGGGTTTAGGGTTTAGGGCAGTTCTCGGAATTGTGGTTCCATTTGGTTGAGGATGGTTGCAACCGTTTAGACGAGTTTGCTTTGTGAAATTGTGCGTGAAGATAGCTGGGTGTTCAAGAAGACTAGGACACTCTGAATTCAGGTGCTGATACTGTCGCAGGAGTCACCTCACATGCTGCCTCCCTTCATAGATGAATTCAGTCTTGACTTCCGGAGGCAGCTCTCATGACGATCAAAACAGGCAGCAGTTTTTGAGAACAATATCTCCATGGAATCTCACAAAAGGCCAGGAGCACGCGCGACGGAGTTGGACCTGGCGACAGGCTCTTCCAGGTTCGAGGTTTGTGTCTGCAGGCACAACGCTTGATGAGAGGCTTAGGGCCCCAAATTAAACCTTAAACCCAAAAAACTTGAGCTAAGCGCCGGATCGCATCCATCCAGCGGCAGATCCCGAACGCTCTCATTGAGGGCCTAACAGCCCGAGCGCCCGTACGAAAGGAGCGCGCAACGAATATTGGCCTCATTGCCCATGGAGGTTGCCCTAAACCCTAAACCTTAAACCCTAAGCCCTAAACCCTTAAACCCTAAACCCTAAACCCTAAACCCTAAGGCCCCTGCACCCTGGAGTTCGGAAGGTGCTGAGGGCCTGGAGGTCTCTGCCCCAAGCAAGCACAAACTTGAGAACCGGAGGCCAAAAATATCTGCCAGCCTGCACGACTGACCCCAGGACAGAGTTGAGAGATTTCGGGCTGGGCTACAGTAGGGTTCATCTCCAGCTCAGTGTGCTGGATCCGGTTCCAAAGTCCAAACCTCTGAGTCCTTACAAGCATCAGGCCGCAAGCAACTCCAAAACCAAAACCACACGAAGCTCAAAATTTCGCCAACCGGTAAACTAGAGCAGACAAACCCCAAATCACAAGTCAACCCACACGACACACACACACACACACAACCAACACACACACACACACACGCGGCTATGCGATCAAACCCCAAACCCCAAAACTTGACCCTGTGATTCGCAGGCTCTTCAGTCAATGCATGGCAGAGAGGCGACATGCTGCGGAGAGGGCCAGCGGCCTGAAAGCCAGCAGTGAATCAGAAAAAGGGAGTTCATGCTTTAGGGGCTTGATGGGAGGTTCTAGGATGTGGGGCACCAGTAGCGAAGGAACTTTAGGGGCTGGGAAATGAAGGAGTCAGGACAGGATTGCAGGAGTCAGCGTGTGACACCTTTAACTAGGACAGGCATGGCTGCCGCTGCCCGCAGCAATGTGAAACATGGCTTAGCGCTTTTGCACTCATCAGAAGAGCACGAAACAGGTGAGAAGTTGGACCATGGCGCGTACCCGCCCGTGTATCTGAAGCACATCTTGACAGCTTCCAGGGTTTAGGATGAGCTTCATCGTTTTTGTCGCAGCATTTGCGCGTTCTCTGTCCGTGCCACTTTTCGTTTACAGCTTGCTCTGCGGGAGAGTAGTTCTGTTGGGAGCATCCATGCCCACATGACGATGGCATCCATGTTGCGAGTGCATTCAGTTCCACATAGCCCCCTAAACCCTAAACCCTAAACGCTAAACCCTAAACCCTAAACGCTGAATGCTGCCCCCTGATTCTTGGTAGGGCATGAGGAGAGTAGGGCCCTGCATGTACCCTTCAAGGGATTATATCGGGTACCTCATTCCCTCCTTCCCTACTAAGCACCAGCTGGATGCTGTTCCGTGCCAGGAACGGGAATGCACCACCCACCGAGTGGCTCCGACCCCTGCACCGAGCCTACACGACACTTGCTACGACTGAAACATACATTTTTGGTCTCGGATTCCGGAGTTCGGATAGTTGCTGCAGCATCGGGATCGGATCTGCATGGCTTGCTACCGGCCTGGAAAGGGACCAGGGACCTGTTCGTGGAGATTTGTGCGAAAACTCCAACCACGAACCCTACGTCGAACTATCCCGAAACCCTACACCAAATCTGCATCAACAACTCAAGGCTGCAAGCTCTGGCATCTTCTAGGGAAACCGCGGCAGTAAACCCTCAACCCTTAACCCCTGACCCCTAACCCCTAAACCCTAACCCTAACCCCTACCCCTAAACCCTAAACCCTAAACCCTGAACCCTGAACCCTGAACCCTGAACCCTAAACCCTAAACCCTGCCCAGCCTTGGGCCTCCTGGCGGAGCCAGGTCTCGCGCCTCTGGCGCACTAGGCCTCCCCGACCCCCCCACACATCCCCCGAGCTGTGAGCCAGAGGGGATGTAGGCTTGAGGGTTTCGGGGTTTCGGGTTTGGGGTTTAGGGTTTATGGTTTAGGGTTTAGGGCTTAGGGCTTGAGGGTTTGAGGTTTAGGGTTTAGGGATTGAGGGTTTCGGGTTTAGGGCTCAGGGTTTGGGCGCTGCACGCGGGGGCGCTGTTGCTCCTGCGGGCCAAGCATGCTCGAGTGTTGGATACGTTTTGTTCTCGGCCGGCTTGAATTTCAGGATGTTGGGTTGGGTCCAACATAGGGGCCTGTTTGTGTTTTTCAGGGTGTAGTTGCAGGTAGCTCACTAAACGTGGGGAGAGTGGCTTTAATATAGGGTCCAAGGGAGGCTTAGGGTAGGTTGGCTTTGAAAAGCTCCGCCTAAACCCCCCCGAGGCCTATGTAGATTGTGAAGGCTGAAGAAAGCAGGGAATGGCCATGACAGCAGCAAACCCTAAACCCTAAACCCTAAACCCTAAACCCTAAACCCTAGTGATCAGAGCATCGTCTGGCCTTTCGGGGCCTTGATGAGGGGTCCAGGGCTGCCGGCTGTTTAGGGGTTTAGGGTTTAGGGTTTAGGGTTTAGGGTTTAGGGTTTAGGGTTTAGGGTTTAGGGTTTAGGGTTTAGGGTTTAGGGTTTAGGGTTTGGGGTTTAGGGTTTGTTAGGGTTTAGGGTTTAGGGTTTAGGGTTTAGGGTTTAGGGTTTAGGGTTTAGGGTTTAGGGTTTAGGGTTTAAGTTACCCTTCTCAGGTAACATCATGGCTTCCCCGCCTCGCGTTTTGCAGCCGAACCTCTTGGTGAAGGTGCGACGCTATGTAAGAATAAACCATCTTCCGCCTAGGTCAAAGGTAATGACGAAGGCGGACCACAACATAGGGGCCCTGTACGATGCTTTTTCTGGGTGACAAGTGAACATGGTACTAGACCCTAAACCCTAAACCCTAAACCCTAAACCCTAAACCCCACGCGAGCCCCTATGTTCTCAATAGCGGGCAGAGACATTTACCCGCCCCCGGATAAGTGCACTGGAGGCACCCGGCTCCTTCGGCCGAGGGATGGGTCACAGGTACCAATCTGCAGAACATGACTGGGCTGTTTAGGTTTTATAGGGTTTAGGGTTGAGGGTTTAGGGTTTAGGGTTTAGGGTTTACGGTGTAGGGCTTAGCGGTTTAGCGTTAGGGCTGCTTCCTGCTTCCAGAACACTGCTGTCCAATCGATTCTCAACATCCCGTTGAGCAGACGGCGACGTCAGGCGGAGCTAGTCATTGACCAGGGAACCCCGAGGACCCAATACCCCGTAATCAAATGAATCTTCGCTCAACCTACTGGCCAGCTACAACCAGGCCCCGGGTAAGCTCCCGTTTGAAACTTACGGAGTACTAAGGGGGTCTTGGGTTTTCCCGGAAAACTAGGGGGAACATTCGCTGTTGACCCGTGTTGGGCCAGCTGCATGTTTCGGAAGGCGCACTCCCAATCAGGCGACGACCAGCAGCGAGGCCTGCAAAGCCATAAGCACCCTACATCCAGGAATGCAGATATTGTAAACAGGCGACTGAAAGCACTGAGAGCAGCTTAAGGGGCATAAGTCATAAGATTCTTTGCGGTTCGGGGGCACGCGAAGAGGAAAGACTTTCAAGAGCCACAGCCCACATTAACTATCACGGAGTTCTGCTGATTCAGAAAGTAGTCCTGCATGACGCCCTCAATTGTTAGTGCTATTCAAGCACCACAAAGAGTGAACCGGGGCGGGCGGGAGCACGGAACGAAAGAAACTCGGACTGTGCGACACTCACGACAAATCAGTCCAAGACACATTGCCATCAACCCAAAAGCCTCATAGCGTGTGGACCGCGTTTGGAAGAAAAAAAAAAAACAAGCCCCTTTCCCCAACACCTAGACCCTGAACCCTCAAACATCCTCAAACCACAGACCCCAAACCTTTGGGAGCCCCTAAACCCTAAACCCCAAACCCTAAACCCTAAACCCCAAACCCTAAACCCTAAACTTCCAGGCTAGTTTGGGGGGGCGCCTTTGCGACCTCACTGCGGGATGCGCCGGAACGAGATCAGTGCCCCGTCCTCTCACGCTCTGCTGCCCTATGCTGCCGTGGGTCTCACATGCACTCCTTACAGCCTAGGGACCTGCTGCTCGCGCTTTCTAGGGCCGCTGTGGTGGAGCTTCTTTGAGGGTTCCCCGAAGCTACGTGGATCGTAAAGCCGATGTAATCCCTGCACTCCGATCCCTAGAGGGCATAGGAGTTGATTGGATCTCGAAACTTGCGGGTCTTGTTCTCGAAATGATGGTGTTCCTGCTCGCCCCTTATGCTACCGCTTTTGGGGAGCCGTTTTAGGGTAGCCAACAAGGGACAACAACTTGGAGACCTGACCTTTCAAAATCCAGCAACAGAGGCAGCAAAGCTCTGCCCATACTTGGAACGCCTAGGTGGTGTCGATGGCCCTAAACCTTTAGACATGCGACCCTACCCCCGCACTCATATACGAGTAGCCAGTTAAGCCGCAAGCCCTGAGCTTTCCTTGCCTAGACCGCATGTAAGCCCTTATTCAACTTGAAGCACCCTTGGCCAGATCACAATGATGTGCTGCTTGTTGCGCAATGCGCATCCAGGATCCGACTTCTTGCGTTGACAGATGACACATGAAAGATACACCTACGGATATTAGCCGCCCGTCAGCATGTCAAGCGAGGAACAGGATCCCCCTCCAAACTGACTCGTTGGTCCCCCGAGGGTCCATCTCTGGTCGTCAAGGGACGGATTCCCTCGCAGCATCTGCCTCCGGGAGGATTAAGGATTAAGGGGGCCCTGAGCCGCGTGGCCTGAAGCCGCAAAACCAAGGTATCCCCAAGCCCCACCCTACCCCAATTCAGGCCCCAAATGACCCTTTATGAAGAAGCCACAACTTGGAACCTATTCGGGGTAGTGTGAGGTGTGAATGTGTAGAAGAAGCCACAAGTAAATCCTGATGAAATCCCGGCGCACACTCTTTGCACAAGTCGAAGTATTTACCGCACAGTGCCCTAAGCCCTCAGATTCTGCAAGCAAACTCCAGCCGTTGCTTCTTCCAGCCCGATGAGTGCAAGAACCCAGGGCTTAGCCTGAAATCTACATCCGTCCTACAGCCGTGTTTATGGACCAGACCCTATCACAGCACCTACTCCAGTGCTCGTGGACGCATCCATGTCGTACACAATTCTCTGAGTGTCGAAGCCCCCAAAACCATGGAATCCTGACACCCCATTAAAGCCCTGGACTGTCAGAACCTTGACCCTCACTCTAAACGTCGAAACTCCCAACCCCTCTTCACCCCTGCCAAACAAGAAAAGAAAATGAAAAGAGGCGTCCTCCCAAACACTAAGCCCGTAGAAGCCCACCAAACCCTGAAGCCCCTTGAAGTCCCTAAAGCCCTGAACCTAAAACCCCCCAAACCCTCAACCCTGTGCTCCAAATCTCGTCGAAACCCCACACCCTAAGCCCCCCCAATTCCTAAACCCTAACCCCCAAACCCCAAACCCCAAAACTCTAAAACCCAAACCCCAAACCCTAAGCCCTAAACCCCAAACCCTAAACCCCAAACCCTAAACCCCAAACCCTGAACTCCCCTGAGCTCGCGGGCTGCACGATGGAGTGTCCCTGCGAGGCACCGCTGAGCGACTGGCTTGGTGCCTTTCCACTCTTTCTGCTGAAGATTTAGGGTTTAGGTCTTAGGGTTTTAGGGTTTAGGGTTTAGGGTTTCGGGTTTCGGGTTTAGGGTTTCGAGTTTAGGGTTTAGGGTTTAGGGTACTTCGGGTCTCTCGTATTTGATAC